TGAAGATGGGTAAACAACTTTATCTCCACTTACCAGCTGGAAACAGCGATGCACAGAGAGAATGAGTGGCTTCCTGAGGCAACTCAGGAACAATGAGTTCAGTAATGAGTCACTGCTGAGGTACTCAAATGGTCTGGTCTCCTAATGCCCAGCCCAAGTCTGATGTGCCATGGCAAAGCTCCTGCATCCATGGGAGAAGGGAAGCCAGGGACTCACGCAGCGCTGCTTTGTTCCTCTGGGTCTGCTGGACACGGGAGTAATGGGTGAGGAAAAATTCTTACTGTCAGACTTCCAAAAATAATAACAAAAAAAGAAGTGTTTGTTAAAAATTTAAATATAAATATTTACTGAATATTATCAACAAAACTTTTGATGTGAGAACTAAAGGCAGTTCAGCTGCAGTTCAGCAGAGAGCCTCCAGCTGGGTTTGGCTGAGACAGCCTCATCCCAGCAGCCATCCAGCTGCATCTCTGTCTTGCCAAGACTTGGGGCACTGCACCAGCTCAGCTATTTCTGAGTTACATTGATGCCATATCTGAAGATGAACAAGGCTGACATCCAAAGTCCCAGAAAGTGTCAAGTCAAAAAATATTCACAATGTGTGAGTTATGGTGTGTTCTGAGAGATACAGACTGTGCATAGACCCAATCCTTTATTTCTAATTATAAGGGAATACCCAAAAAGATGAGATATGGGTTGGTTTTATACTTCTCCAAAAGCTAAGGAAATCTACATTTTCCTTCCCCTCAACCTGGATGAATGATTTCATAGCTTGTCAGTAACCTTTGAATAAGATTAATCTCTGGCCCATGAAGTTTCTCGTGGTTCCTTTCCAGCAGAAGATCTGGTCTCGACTTGACTGGTTGTAATCTTTCTTGAAGCATCTGCAGCTTGTCATGGTCAGAGATCTGAAATTGGAGTAGGATAGACATTTGGCCTGTCCTGGCAATACAATAAAACTAAATTTTTTTGTAAACTTCCATGCTCATGCACATAGAAAGACAGAACAGAGAATAAGTCCTATGCAACACTTTTGGTAGACTATGTAATATGTTATTGCCCCAAATTTGTTAAAATCAATAAATGCTATCTGAAATACAGAGCAATGAATAGCCTGGATTTGTCTCATTTGCTTAGGCTGTGATGAAGAAATGGAAGCACAGTATCCTCTGATGTGAATTTCATTCCTAGAATTAAAATATTTCCTGTTTTTCTCTGTTGGTGGAGCTTTTGATCTCTTGAATTGTTAAAAGCTGTCTCATTTTAGGGTGATGCAGTTTAACTGAAATACTTAACTGTCACTCTTAAAAATCTTAATATCAAGAATTATCTGAACCATTGTGGGTGCCCTGTCAAGACTCCCTCTGCACAGACCACAGCCAGTAAAATGAGGGCAAGGATTCTTCTTACAAAGGGTTTTGGACAGAGAAATATCTGGTTTCTTATGAACAAGAAAAGCATGTTCAGTATTTGTTGATAAAACACCAAAGAAGCAAGCTTGTTTTTGAAGGATATTTCTGCTGCTTGTGTAAGAAAACACCACAGTTGTGTGTTTAGTGGAAATATGCCAGTGTGCTTGGGCTGGCCTGAGTGTCCAGGGCGCCTGCTGCTGGGTTTCTAAAGACAGTCCTCTCTCACTATTGCTGCAGCAGCACTACTCTGTGTGTATGAATAAATAATAAAAGCTATGACTCCAGGGTGGAGCTTTTATATGACAGCATACAACTGGTTTAAAGTCCAGTACAGCTACTGTCACACAGAGCCAGCTTCCTGGCTCCCTCTTCTAGCCCAGGGCTTTGGTTTGTAGTGGGCATGCATTTTATCACCACTGATTTGTGAGCCCATGTAAGCACCCATGACATACAGCAGAGCCCTCCGAGTGAAAAAGCTTTTTGTTTTCTTCTCCTCATCTTCACTGAGCATCTGTTTGGCTGCTGCTTGATAAGATGAAATCAAATTAATGAAATTTAATGCCTTGGATGCAGGAACAAAATACACAATTGTGAAGCAACTGATAAAAATTACATAATGTTATATGCGATCCCAGTTTAATACATGTGAAATTATTTCTGCAAGAGTCAAATGGTGTCATTCAAGATTATATTTTAATGCAATACAAGGTCTTTGCCCTGAGAGAGTCTAACTGGTAAAATCCCAGCTAGGCTCCACTCTGTCTGTTGCTTATTCTCACAAGACTATCATGAGGGCCATTCAGAGAGATGTCTTTTCTCTTTCAAACTAATGCATCATGAATAAGTGGAATCTTACTATCACATCCCTGAAATCCAGCTAGTATCATCTTTCTGTTTCCTTTTCATCAGTAATCTAACTAACAAGGTACCAGTTTTAAAAGATCTATTGAGGAAACAGATACACTGATTTTGCATTCTGTTGCTTGTTTGCCCTGTGTGTGAAAAAGGTCTGAAGTTTTTTTGGTGGTTTTGGTGGTTTTTTTAATACCTCGTCAAATCTGCCTGCATGGTTTAATTGGACAATTTGTTGATATGACAGAGGAGAAGCTTTTATTGGCACTCTTCTGATGTTCCTTTTCAGGCCATTAGATAGATATCATCTATAGTGGGATTAGGTGCTTGAGGGCCTGGAAGAGTTAAGGTTCTTTTGGAGAACTTGCATTTGAAAACAAAAATATCACAAAAGCCAAAGCATTAATTCCATTTCCCTTTTACATGAACACCCGGAGTGGTGAATATAAAACCATAAACCCCCATTTTCACAAAACCTCCTGAAATAACAGGTGGACAACAGATAGCTCATGGCATTTGAGCATGAACTCCTCAGCCCACAGAGGGGCAAAAGGCAAGAGAGGAGGATGGATGAGCAGAAGGGCTTATCAGGACAGGGCACAGCCTGCAGTGCTTGGGGATCTCACACTGGAGTTACACACACAATTTCTCTGAGGTCAAAGCTGTCTAAAAATCGCTCCTCTGGGCTGCCTCCTTTCCTGCCTACACTGCTTTGTGCCATTACTCTCCTTGTAGGGTTTTTTCATTTCAACCAGACATGAAAACCATGCATTAGAGGCAAAAGTAACCTCCACAAGCTCACAACTTTCCTTGAAAAGTTTCTTAACCTTGCATTATGGCACAGTTTAACAAACAGTTGCACTGGTTTAAGTAAAAAGACGCTGAAATGTAGCACATGGACAGAAAGAACAGTCTGGGGGCAAAAGCTCCTTAACCTTAACCAAACAAGCTTTGCTCTTAGGGAGAATTCTCTCCTAACTGCAGCCTGGGGTTGTGCTCTGCCAACCAGGCAGCTGTGGGAAATGCTTTTACAACTGCTGCCTCCTTTACTCTTTAAAATGTTGCTGTTCCCAGTCCCTTCTGTAATAACAACAAAAAATGAAGTGTGGACATGGTTTGTAAAACCCATGCAAACCATGGTTAAAAAAGTTTTGGAAAGCAATTATTTTCATCAATCCTCTAAGCAGGGGTTTGGTAGGAGAGCTCCAAAATGGAGGAAGGACATCCAGTGGGACTACACCACCTTACACTGAAATGTTTTCAGTTTCTATGGTAGCTTGAAGTGATCTCAGATGTGTGAGGTTCCTTTCCCATTCAGCATGATGCAAACCCACAGGTTAAGTCAGAGCCCTTCCCATGCTGTGATCACACCAGGGTCTTGGCTGAGGTTTTCCAGAGCTCTGCTGCAGCCCTGTGCTGACTCCTTCTCCCACAGGGAATGTGACCAGTGGCAGAGACACTCCCTGTGCTCACCTTGCTGATATCTATGGCATGGGAGGAAGAGAAGCAGGGAAGGAGGTCAACCAGGCAATGTCCCTGCTGGCAGCCCTGTTCTTTTGGCTGGGGGTGCTTGGACTGACAACTGAGTGTCTGCACATCTTCACTGAAAGGGACCCATTTCAGGACTCCCTTTTAGCCTGGCATTTGCTGACTCCAGGACATGAAGAAGTCCCCGTGACACTGGTGATTCCAACAGCTGGAAGAGTCTTTGCATTTCAGATAATGCTTTGCTCACTAGGTTCAAAAATCTGCTTTTCTAAACTAATCTCTCCTCAAGCTACAAGAACTTGGACACCTGTGGACAATATGGTGAACATGGACCTTGTTCTGCTTTTGCATTTGTAAATTTCCTAATATATGCTAGTTAATAATAATAATCGTAATAATAATAATAATGCTCTGCCACTAACAGAATGGATGCAATAGTGAAAAGGAAACCCCAAGGCTTGTCATCCTGATAGGACTAAATTGCAGCTCTGGGCACTGCCTAAATACAGGCTGCAAAATATTATTCAGCTACTTGAATATGAAGTACTTCCCCTACCACTCATTAATATCCCTTAGCAGCTCCCTGAGAAAAAGATTATAAACTGAATATATGGAGCAATCCCATGTGTGTGCTGTTCCAGGATAACCCTAATCCTTCCTGAAGAACTTGGAATATTTTTTCTCCTCATTTCTCTCCTGTTATGTGCCCATCCTGACAAGCTTCCTGGAGTTCTTGTGTGACATGATTAAAAAAAAAATCAGATGTCTCAAAAATCAAGAGACTGCAAACAAAAAGCTTATCAGAACTGTTCAGTCCTCACACTCTAAGAAGGGTTATTTAGGTGCCTTATTGTGTTTTTGCATATCTTTCTAGTTTTAGTCTATTTTATAACATTTAGTAACAAGTTCCTAGATTTGAAGTGTCTATCTGGGACTAACATATTATTTCTGTACATACTAACATAGTATTTCTGTAGCATTTTACCCTTAAGTTATGGTACAATCTCAGAATTAAGACCAGGTTAATACAGTTTTAGGGAGTGGAGTGCCTTTCAGACTATCCCCATCAGATGCAGGAGGGGCTCCAAACTGTGATATCCCATTGTTCCAATGGAAGTCACTTGTGGGGAAAGCCCACACAGTTAATATCTGCTGGGCAGTATGAACAACTATACTATCATAGCCTATAAAGTTGGTCACAAATATATTATAGCATATAATTTAAAATAATGCTGTAGAGAGAAAACTGGTAGCTATGATTTAGTTTTAATCTTACTGCTGACATGGGAGAAATTAGGTTGGGATTCTGGCTGTTTGGGATAGTAAAAGCAGTCTAAGAAGATAAATCAAAGAGAATTTGAGGGACTGTGAGTGCAATGGATCAAAACAAAGCAATTCTTTCCCCATCTCCTTCTCTGCCCTCTTTGAGCCTGCTGTAAGTTGCCCCTAGCAATTATTTTTTAAAAAGGATAGTCATGCTTAGTAGGACTGTCTTCTTCTAAACTAATGCCAGTACATTGGTAATAGCAGCAAGGAAACAGACCAAACACTAAAAAAATCTGTTCTTTGTTTTCTGCGGGAAGAAATTAAGATCTGATGGTAGGGATTTTTCTTAAGCAGCAGAAAGTAAATTGTTTCAAAGCCATGTGTGTTCCAGCTCTGTGTATAGTTATATTCTGTGATAGACTAAATCATCTGCATTGGAAGCAATGGGAATTGGATTATAGTTCAATTATTTTGGTAGTGTATGGCTTGAAATAGATGAATAAGAGCCACTACTTATTGTAATAAAGGGACAGAATGTGTAACTGTGTCCCCCAAATGTGTGGGATGATGACTAGAGGGGACTCAGTTCTGCAGGACTCTGAGTTCTTGGAGTCCTGGAAGCCACTTAAATTCATGCTGAACATACAGTGAGGGTTGCCCTTCACCCCAAGAAACCTGCAGACACTGATGTAAAGAGCTGTGGTTACCAGCAGCCTGGAAGGAGTGAGGGTCTGCCTGGCTGGGACGAAGATGGATGAGCTGGGGCTCCAGCAGTGGTGGCTGAATGGGCTCTAAAGCTGCTAGTGAATTCCCAGCAGGACAGACTATTCCTGCTTTCCAGAGTTCAGAAGCAGGTTTTTACAGGAATTTGAGCTTTACCCTTTTCCTTCAGAGGAAGTAAGCTCTTATAGCATTCTCTAAGAAAAAAGAGGGAATAATTATAACTATTTGAGAAATCAGATTTCTGTGATTTCCCTGCAGCTCCCTTCTGCAGTGAGGGGCTGGAGTGATATGGGAGGGAAGGGCTGTCACAGCCAGTTCCTGGAGTTCAGGCGTTGTGATACACTCCTGTAGAGTTCATTCCTTAACAAGAAATGTCGTGGTAGATGTATTATGTACCTGCTCTGACACGTTCCTGCAGAAAATATTCTAGTCACCAGCAACTGACCCCATGTGAATTGAAAGACTTATTTATTAGGAAATCAGATGAAAGGTAGCTTTATGCAAGCCAGCTAGAGTTGTGAAAGGAAGCCACATTCTAGATGAAAGGGAACACTTAGTCCAAAGTAAAATATGTACTGTGTTTGGTCACATCCCTGGCATGACGGAGGATGGCTTCCTACCCACAAATGATGATATTGTCTTCAGATAATTGCTCCCTTATCAGATAAATCACTGAATTTCTCATTAAAAAATGAGTATATTCTTCTTGAGGGTTGCTGTGGTGTCAGTCCATGATGTGTGGGTGGGGATAGAGCCCTGCCACGATGCCAATGAACCCGGCCAGTTCTGCTGGGATGCTGGGCTTAGTGCTTCCCAACAGTTTCCTTTTGTTTGCTTTCACAGCCATTTCAGGCAGCACTGAAAAAGTCCACTAAGCCCAGTATCTCTTGCTCCTGCTGCAACAGTGGGAGCTGTGTGTCCTGGTGCTGCCAGCTCTCCCTCTGCACCACGTGAGGAGCAATCATGGCCTCGTTGGAAACAGCTCAAGTTTGTTTGGGTACACATTTGTGTCTCTGTGTTGTACATCTGTACGTGTGCACAAGCCAGAAAGGGGGGATCTGAAGCTCTTATAGAATCCAGCAGCCATGTCTGAAAAGTACAAGTGTATGGATATGTGGGAAAGCTTTGCTGTTGAACCTCATAGATGTGCACGTATGATGGACACCTATAACACTCTGTGGCCCACATGGTGTCACTCCATCTGCAACACCAGAACTTCAGGAAGTACTTCACAGGGATGAGAAATGGGAGCTCAGGGTCATTTCTGATACCTGCCACCAAACAAAAGTCTTCTACATCCAGAGGCAAGGCTGCAAGTGTATTTCTGCTGTGTATGGCTCATTTTCAAAACAAAATTAAAGACCAGGTGAGAACTCTGTACTTTGAAACTTTTCCCAAAGTGGACGCTGCCATGGGTGACACTGAGTGGTGAGGAGGTGACCTGTAAGAGAGGGTGTGCTCAGCACAGCCAGGTACTCCTCATTAATGTTCCACCCATGTGCCCAAAGTAGGATTTCAGTGAAAAGGTAGAGAACTATATACATAAGGATCAAAATTTCCCAGCACTTAATGGGAAAGTGATTTTATAAAGACCTGGTTGGTCAGGCTGATGCATGTCTCTAGCATGCTCTCATTCAGATGGTCTCTCTGGCTCAGAATGGCTTTTATCACTTTAGGCAGAGTAATTCTTCCACAAAAGAATGTTTTTGCAAGCAGCAGTGCATAGTATCAATGAATTAGCAACTTCCTGGATCTTGCTTTGGTTTTAGATAATTAGCAAGCACACAGGCAAAATTAATCCACTCTCTTATTAATAGTCAATTCACTCATTTGCAAGATGTATGATCAGTAATTTTATTTTAAAATAAATAACGAGATAAATGTAGATTGCTGTTTTTTATTTTGTCAATTTTCCTCAAGAAAGAATCAGAGAACTGCTGCTGATGGTTGGCTCTTTCCCCAGAGAGAATTGAACACATCTTGTGTTCTCTTTTTCTTGTGAAGTGCCAAGTGTACAAGCATCTTATCAGATTAATTCTAGTGGGAGGCTTTACAATTATTGTTATGACTATTTACTCTAAGCACTGATGGGGAATTTAGAAAAAAAATTATTGCAATGAAGTTTAAATGCAAGAATTTGATCACAGAGAAAATATAACTATGAACTTATTCATATTAGACTAATGCCACTGATTAAAATTTAGTTAGTCCTGATTTACACCAGCCCGAACTGAATTAAGTCAATAATAGTCATCTCCATTCAAGGAAATACTGGGAAAACATGCTTAATCAACTACATTCGTACAACTAATGGAGAGAAGGTAATTTCTTTCTTACTGGTTCCAACTTTGTCTATCATGAATATTATGGTAATTCCTCTTTGTGCTGCAAATGAGCTGTCAGCCTTTCTAGCCTCTGCAGTAACTTTCAACACCGATTATATTTGAGATCAGTTGTTCATTTTGACTTTTAACACTTAGCATTTGTATGAGAACTGCCATAAACGATTGGGATCCAATGCCCTTAATGATCATAAAGGAACTGGTAATTCAAGTCTTGTTTTTAAATAAAATTTTTATCCTACCAGTAGTTTTCAGGGATGACTGTAGCTGGAGCACATTATCTCATTCTGAATTTCTCATTTAAACAACAAAAGAAGCTTTTTCATTGACAAATACTGTAAATCTTTGGATATCTGCTTTGTGCCCTTAAGGGACAGCTTACTGCAATTGTCCAAGTCTGTAGGTAGAGGACAGGATGTCCACATAAATTTAAAAAAAACCTCCAGATTTGCAACCCTTAAATCAAAAGAAGTCTCCATACTTTTTCTGAGCAGCAGCTAAAACATCTTCAGGCATAATTTATGCTGTTGACAGCCGTTGCATATATAACACCAGGAAGTCTGGTTTTAATTCTTGTAATATTCCTGGGGAGGTGGGTGGCTTAGTTAATAAACTTGATCTTTCACCTTCGGAATCAGATTGAGCTCCCTTGTTGCAACATGCCTGTCTTTAATTTGGATGCTCGTTTACTTACAGAGGTTACCTGCTGGCCTGCAAGAATCAGAAATTGATGTCTAACACACATCACCAAGTCCACAGGCAGATGTGCAGTGAAAGGAGCACAGAAGTGGTCATCTGCCCTGGGCAGAATGCCAGAGGGACATCCTCTGGTGGCCAAGAGGGCTGTGGGATGGGTAGAGGGGAGGAAACCATGGCTTCTCCAGATTACTGGGGTAAGGAGAATTCCTGAAGAGTTTAAGGCTGGAGGTAGATATCCTGTCCCATGCTGCTGTGCTCAGGGTGCTGCCAGCACCCACCTGCTCCAAAGGGAGCAGTCAGGCTGGCATGTCAGCAAGGTGGGTGCTACTCCAAAGGTTGTTCAGAGCCATCAGGGGCACCACTGAAGACGCTTCCAGACAAAACAATTCAGCATTACCTGAGCATGACCCGTGCAAGACAGAGGCCATCAAAAGCAGGTATATTTTAAAGTGACTGATTCCCGTGGGCTAGCTCAAGCTGCAGCCTCAACACTGCATAAACAGGAAACAAAGCTCTTCAGTAACAGAGAATATTCTGCCTTGGTGTCCACACACACATGGTCACTTCCCAGCTCTCATGTCCCTGAGGAATTTACGTTCCTTCACACCTCAGATTGCTTGGCTGTCTCTTGGATATCCATCATGTGACACCCAGAAAACAGTCCCTAAAATAAAGGACAGAGTCAGATTTTGACTCCTATTAACTCAAGACACTTCAGTGCCCTTACCATTGTTGGTTTGTGTATATAAAAAGAGGCTTCCAGGGAAGAGCCACTAAGCTGATGACAGGGCTGGAGCACCTCTCTGATGAAGGTAGGCTGTGAAAGCTGAGGCTGCTCAGCCTGGAGAAGAGAAGGCTCTGGGGAGATCTTACAGCAGCCTTCCCGTATGTAAGGGTGGCCTTTAAAAAGCTGGAGAGGGACAGTACACGAGGGCATGCAGTGACAGGACAAGGGGGAATGGCCTTAAGCTAAAGAAGGGTAGGTTTAGACCAGCCATTGAGAAGAAATTCTTTACTGTGAGGGTGGTGAAGCACTGGGACAGGTTGCCCAGAGAAAGTTGTGAATTCCCCATTCCCAGAGTAGTTCAAGACCAGGCTGAATGGGACTGTGAATAACCTGGGCAAGTGGAAAATTCCCTGGCCATGGCAAGGGGTTTGGAGATAGGTGATCTTTAATGTCACTTCCAACCCAAACCATTCACTTTGTCGGGGCTGAGAAAGGCATAGAGCTCCCCAGGTAACAGAATTATTTTAATTTTTAGGCCCTGGAAATTATTACAGTAATTATGAAATGCAGTGTTTTCTGGATCACTAGGCAAATATCTGAAAGGTTCCTAGAGAGGAACCTAACCTACTAACAAGTGTCTGCTTACTGAACTTTCTGTGCTTTGCCTGATAGAGCAAAAAAAGCCTGTCTGCCTGCTTTAGATTTTGAAACCCTAGACCTAAGCCTAACCTCAACCTGAAATGTACCTGGGTAACAGTTCAAACAGGAAGAGATCCTCTGCTCGATGTGCTCTATTCCTTTTACATCCCAACTCCCTGGCTGGCAGGATGATGTAGTAATAATGCTCTAAAATTCCTTCAGCTCTGGACTCCTAAACAGCTTCAACCTCAAATGCACTCAGGGGACCAACCACTTCTGTAAATCGTGCAAGTGCCCCACTAAAAGCACCTCTCTGCCTGCCTTTCTGGGCTCTGCAAGTTGTGACAAGAATAACCAGTCTGGCTGCTTTTGCTTCTCTGACTTAACTGATTTCAGGAATGGGATGGCCCCATGGGCTACATATCACTTTAGGGGTAAATTTCTCATGACAGACATTTATGCACTTAAAGACATTTTCACGGAGACATGCTGTAAAACCTGGGCAATAAACCATGGAGGATGAAGGCTGCTATGTCCTGCAATATAATTGCATTTTCATAACACATTTCAGGCTAGAGGCACAGAAAAATGAAGCAGCCAAACAAGTTATGCTACCTGTATCCTGCACAGACCAGAAACAGAGAGGAAGGATTCATACTAAAGGGAATTGGGGCTTCTAATGTAGTTTATGATCCCTTGGGAAGTTATGATGTTAGAGATTAGATTACAATTAGGGATATGGGGATTTAAAGCATCTAGACAGTGTTTTTATGAAGGTCACAGAGAGTAAGAGGCATCTGTTTATAGGCTTAAGGCTGGAGCTATCTTGAACTATAATTACTAAAGTCAGGGCTATGGGAGAGTACCCAGAGCAGCTAGAGAGACTCTCCTTGCTGCTTCCTGCAGCTTCTAAAATGTCAGGAAAGGACAGAAGTTAGAGATGCTCAGGTAAGGCAGGTCCTGTCTACATAACTGCCTTGAATGCTGGGTGCAGATCCCAATGCATTTAGAGATATTTTTCTGAAGAGGCTTTGCAGCAACAATATTTTGGGAAAGAAGAGTTCTGCTTGAGGTCATTACATCATTGTGCATGACCCAGCGTCATATTCAAGGAAAGGTTCCCTCGGGAGTAAGAGGACAGGCTAAGTTAATGTCAGGTCGAGTTGGACAAGCAAAAGAATCTGTTCTTGATGCTCTTTGCAGAGCTAGGAGGGTTTTATGGAAAGGAGTTATGTTTGATGGTCAAGATCCTTTTTTCATGACTTCAGGTACATATGGCTTTTTGGAAACTCATGAGCTTATGCATGGGGATTGGCTGTGAGACCCAAATTCCTCCCTTGTGGAATGGTGTAGTGGGCAGGCAGAGATTCAAAACCTGGTGGTGAACTGAAGGCAGTCTGTCCCTCATGTCTCTCTATACATGCAGATGCCATGTACATCCATTTGGGATTGGTGGTTGGGAGTAGGGATGAAGAAACAGACAAACATGATTTTCTTACTGTGCAAGAGCTCAGAAGGATGAGGTGAGAAGAGGAATTTGGTAGTCTCAAGCCCTTCTTGATGATTTCTGGGAAGGTGCT